CCCCGCCCGGCTTCTTGTTGGCTGCCATGCGGTCCATTGTCTCCCATAGCCCGGTCGCTCCTGTTACCTCGGAGACCAAACGGAAATGACAACATCCAATCACTGGAATGAGCTTGTGCGACACTGAAGGTTCGTTCCTTCCCCAAAACAGGATCAAAAGCAAAGTCAACCAGAATCATCAGCCTTCCGGGTGAGTATGGTGTTATCGTTCCTTCCCCAAAACAGGATCAAAAGCAAAGTCGACCAGAATCATCAGCCTTCCCGGTGAGTACGGTGTTTTTTTTACCTGAGGAAAAAGGGGGGAATTACATCTGCTTCAAACAACAAAGTGTATGCAGGAAAAGTGGTTCAGATATCACGACTGCCTGTGTCTTGTATGTTGTTCTTTTGATGGCGGCGCCGGCACCCGCAACGGCTCCTCTTGTTGTCTGGTTGAGAGGAAAGAAATTTCATCTGTGCTGTATATTGCACAAACAGCGCATTTGACAAGAAAGTTGTACTGACTTGACTTGATTTGACTTCTTTTGAATAACCGTCTGCTCTATTGTCACGCGTCGAGGCTGTTTGATCCAAAAAGTCGCCTTCGAAACTTTGCTCGAGTCCACAGTAGTGCACTTGTGTCGCCCTGCCTTTGGCCGAGCTCGATCCGAGCCATGATCAACGTTTCACCTCATTAGTCTAGTCAAGTAGCGATCAAACGAAACAAGCGACGAGTTGATTTTTTTCTTGGGGGGATGGGGGGCAAACAAAACAACGAGACCCGGATTCGATGCCGGGCTTCTTTGCGTTCGTTAGCTTGCTCGCTCGGTCGGGCTATCGCGTTCGGCGGCGAAGTCTACTTGCCCAACAACTTGAAAATTGATGAACGTGCTCGTAGACGAATACTTCGAATACTTTTGATGTGAATTAAGAAGCAAATTGGTGAGAAACGCGACATTACCGACACCAGGCACCGGAAGCAGTGCTGCTCGCGGGATCGAACGTTTGTCGCTCGGTAAACCGGAAACGATTAATAACGCTTCCGGTTCGCGTTAAAACAAAACATGTTACCTTTTCGTTTCCCCCCCCCACCTCGGAGTTCTACTTATATCTCTAAACTAGTACTCAAAGCCGGATTTCTGAATTCAAACAAGAATGTTAAGATTTGAAGTCATGCTTTCAAGTCATCGTAAAAGTTTGAGCGTGTGAGATGGCACAGCCACACGCGAGGCCTACCCCGAGCTGGGACGGGCCGAGAGCTTCCTGGAGCTACCGGTCAGCATCGGCTCGGAGCACTTCTGCTACAACGGCACCAAGGGGTTCTACTGCCTCCTGGAGGCCGGGCGGGAGAAGTGCCTGGACCGGTCCAAAGGTCGGCCTTACGCGCCCCTCGACGGACTCGCCTTAGGGAAGCTTTGCCAGTGCTGCTCGCGGGATCGAACGTTTGTCGCTCGGTCAACCGGAAACGATTGATAACGCTTCCGGTTCGCGTTAAAACAAAACAAAACAAAACATGTTCCCTTTTCGTTTCTTCTTTTCCCCCACTCTTGGAGTACTACTTATATCTCTAAACTAGTACTCAAAGCCGGATTTAGGAATTCAAACAAGAATTATTGTTAGATTTTCAACTCTGGTTTAAGGGTCTGCTTTCCCATTTGGATCGGGGGTTCAGGCCAATGTTAAGATTTGAAGTCATGCTTTTAAGTCATCGTAAAAGTTTATTTTTCTTTCCGTGAGACCAAGTTGAAACAAAGTGACAGCCAGTTCAGAAGCCACGCAGCATTTGGGCTTTCCGTGCCTTGGTGTTGTTTTCTTGCGACACTCTCTAATTTATTGATGACGGGAGGGACTCGCCCCCGCAAGACCCCTGAGGAGGAGGACGACGAGGCTGCGCGTGACGTAAAAAGGGATAAAAACTGAGAATCATCTTGGGCGTGCCGCTCCGAATGGCTGATGCGTCGGAAATGAAGGAGGTAGGAGGAGGAAAGGGAAAGGAGCTAAAGGCCCGCATCGGCCCGGAGCACTTCCAGCGGAAGCATTCGTAAACTGAGGTATCACTGTACTTGGCCGAGCCCAACCGCCTGTTCTTCAAGATGGTAGAGAACCTTCTCCTGGTGCTGACGACAACAGAAGGACCACCCACAGTCCACTGACGCAAGCGAAACGAGACGATCAGGATAGAAGTGACTTTAGAACCGTGCCGCTGCCTCCGAGGGATAAAACTGTACCCGTCTGCACGTGACCAAGCAGCTGGAATTGAGCGGGGGGCATTGAAAAAGAAATCAGGGCATCATTTGCATTTCTTGAAAAACCTTTTAACAAAGATACCAGTTGCTTACAAAAAACAACAAGGCAGCTGTTGCATTGACGTTACTGTTGTCAACGCTTCATGAGGCGACCCCCCCCCTCATATAAGGATGGCATTAAGAACAAATATATTTTTACTTGGACTGCATTAACAAAAGCATTTTTTTTGAATAACAGTAATCTTGATCGAGCTTTCCCTGCTCCTCAAAATTCCATGTGGGAGGTGTAATAATGTAAATGAGTCTAATTGTGACGCCACCGTTGATTGAAGGACGAGAAAAAGAAAAAGACAAATTCAGACTCTCTCGCCCCAAGACACATTTCAGTTAAACAAAACATTTATTTGGTGTTGTAATTTTACACTTGATAGATGGACGCAGGACGCCAAAGTCCCAACTATTTGATTTTTTTTAATCCGGAAAAAAAAAAAAAAAAAAAAAAAAATTCAGAGTCACTCTTTCACAATATGTCCACCGAAGATTGTCCATTTAGCAGCAGTCGCCGTTCCTTTGGAACCGAAGGTGCCTGAAAGCAGCAGCGCTGAGGAAGATCAATACGATTAAAAAGGCGCGCCCGAGAAATGACGCCGAGGGGAAACAAATCAAATTGTCGTTGTGGCCACCATATCGATACGACGTGCGCGCAAAATACGGATTTGCGGCTTTCGTGTCACTCCCGTGAACTACTTGGATGCCCAGGTAGGCAAATGGAGCGCACCTTGGCTCGAAATTGCAACACGCCGCGGCCTCCGTGGTTTGGAACCGAAGGTGCCTGAAAGCAGCAGCGCTGAAGAAGATCAATACGATTAAAAAGGCGTACCCGAGAAATGACGCCGAGGGGAAACAAATCAAAGAACGAGTCTTGTTTGCGAGGCCAAAAACGTTGGCTCAACATTCTTTGAAGTCTTGCGGCGTGCGTGCTCCGCAGGGGGCTTATTCCAAAGGAGGCGGAGAAGATACCAAATGGGTGCCAGAAGGAATTGTCTTTTGTGCCCACAAATTTGTGCTTGTTGGGTTTTTTTTTTTTGTCGCCACAAACGAGCATTTCACAGAGGCGATAGACACTTCTTGAACAAAAATGAGTATTTTGCGGTTTGCTAGTTTTGAGACCAGGGATGTGAATTTTGCGCGCCGATCGTCTCCAATGCAGCACGGCGTGTTTGCCTTTTCTGGCCAATGCGTCCTATTTGGTGGCCACCCACGAGCATTCTCACGCGCACGCTCGACCCAAAACTCCGCCCAGAACACGCTGACATTTTGTTGTTCACGGCCACAAATGAGCACCGGCCAGGAAAGAGTCCCCGGCGGCCAAAACGGCGCATTTTGTGCGTACGTTATCCGGGCGAGACGGCAATTCGTATCGCGTGTGGGGCTCGGAACGGGCGTATGCACGGTGGGAGTCGGCGTTACCTCCGTCAGGACATCTTCTGGAAAACGAAGACCAGGTAGATGCTGGTGGCTTCCCACTCGGACCTGCTGAGCGTACCCAGAGGCATCCCGGCGGCGGAGCCCGCCCGCTCGCGGTCAGACGCCCGCCGCGCCGGGCCGGGAACTCCTCCAGCGAGGCCATTTTCATCAGCAGATCGCGGTGGTGACTCAGCTTGACCTTGTCGCGGTAGAACTCGCCGAAGCGCTGCTTGCTCACCAGGCGCATGCCGTAACGTGAGGCCATATGCTCCAGCAGAGGGAAGTAGACCAGGAACTCCGGCACGTCCACCACCTACGTGCGACGGCAAAAGTACTCACGTGCCGCACTTGGGTCAAAGCGCGCACACTTGCGCAAAAGGAAACTGCGCTCAGAAGTTACAAGTCCCGATGCCGATCCGGAAGTCAAAAGGGAGAACAAGCGCAGAGCGGGGCCCCACCCATTTCATCCACTGATACTCAAGCTTTTCAAACGGGTAAAAATTGCTTGAGCCACTTTGGGAGTCCCTCGTTTTTTCGCTTGCCGATCATTTCTTGGCACTCCAAAGGTGGCGGCCAAAGACAAAAAGCGGGGAAAAGGCGGTAAGAGAGCGCCTTACCTGCTCCAGGTTGAAGTGGTACTGGCATCCGAAGAGCGGGTAGTCGCCCCTGGTCCGGAAAGTCACCCGGAAGACGTCGTTGCCGAAGGAGAGCGAGTCGGACGCCTCCAGCCGCTTGACCAGCTCGTAGGCGTCCGGCGTGGTTCCGATGAAGTAGCCGCCGGGCTTGAGGCGCTCGCAGGCGTTCCTCAGCATCGTGTCGGCCTTGGCCCGGCTCTCGAACGAGTAGTGGTACACGAACTGGCAGCTGCAGATGTCGAACAGCAGGTCGGGGCGCTCCAACTTGTCGGCCAGGAGCTCTTTGGTGCAGTCGGCCGTGATGAACTGGGCGCTGAACATGCCCTCGTCGCCGCGGCCCCTCCTCTGCATGTACTCGTAGCGACTGCGACACTGCTCCACCGACACGCCGGCGATGTCGGCGCACACCAAGTGGCCGATGTTGCCCTTGCGCCACTTGAGCAGGTCGCCGCCCTTGCCGCAGCCCAGGTCGAGCACCGAGAGGCGCCGGTGGCCGGCATCGCGCAACTTCTCCACCGTCTCGCCGATGAGGACGCTGTGGACAGATAGACGGGGTTCAGAGCGTATGGAATTGTTTTTTTTTTTTTTCCTTTTTAGCCCAATGCATATTCCGATACCCGGCAAAAGAAAATTTCAATCACGGATTCATCAGCTGCTTCATTCAAAACAAAAAGCTCTTCGATATAAATGAAACCAGAATACAATGGCTTGCAAACCACGTCCTTCATCGAACACACGACAAAGACAATTCCGGTTCAAACGGATCGACTAGGTTGCTTTCTCGCAAAAAATCGTAAACTTAGATCGGCTTTTCTTGGAACAGAAGCTCTGGGACCCGAGGACGCTCATTGGCGAAGCTCTGCGGGTGGAGGTCTTTCCCGTTCTTGCTCGCGGCGTAGCTTCGGCCGTTCTCCGCCGTCACGTCAAGAGCTCTCGTTTGTTTTCATTGTCGGAGAGAGGTGTGGCTTGAGCGCTGTCACGTGACTGTGATCCTGCCGAACCAACATAGCGTTTCCTCTCCGGCTACTCGGTAGCCCCCCTTCCGTACTTAAGTAGTTATTTGGAAGATAACTCGTATGGTTCTAAAGTAATAGTATTCTTACTTGAGTACAGGGTTGTCTCCTCTCGCAAACTCTGCTCACACACGGTGTGGGGTTGCTCTCTGAGATAATAATAGTGACCGGGAGAAAAGAACGTGCCCACCTCTTCATCCAGTTGTTGAAGTTCCGCATGAAGAAGATGCGGCTTTGGCTACGCGCGGTCAGTCCGGCCTCCTGAAGCCGGTTGTAGTGGTCGGCCACGTTTGTGTTGTGGTCGACCTCGACTCTCGGAGGCTTTTTTGCGGAGGGCTCATCGTCCTCGTCGCCGCTTCTCTTCAGTATCTTCCTCTCTTCCTTTGTGCCGTCGCCAAGAGCGTCCATGTTTGTTGCGCTTGTGTATGTCGATGAGGCGCATGCGCGGGAGACTGTTTCCGCGTTTAAAGCATTCACTTCTGGGGTTAAAATGGATTCTTTTCCGATTTTACTTTTCGCGAAAATTATTTCAGTTCAAAATTTAGCATAAATAATCATAAAATGCTGACTGTGGTCTTCGACGGATAAATGATCGCCTCGTGCTTCCTTTGGGTTCCGGCAAGGCTGCGTGTAGCGACGGCGCATGCGCAAAATAAGTTCAAAACCGATTATTTGCGGGGTAAAAGTGGGCTGTTTTCGTCGTTTCGAAATGAACATCGTTCGAATTCACAATGAATCATACAACACGTCCGATATCTTCTTCGATGTCGAACAAAGTAATAATTTCATTTCTTTTCCCATTGATATTTTAGATTGGGAAACCATCAAACGCACTGAATACTCGCGATGGGCACAAGGAAGGCTGAACCACTAAGGCGCAGGTGTCAAAGTCCGGTCCTCGAGGACCGGTGTCCTGCATGTGTTCCATCTCTGCCTGCTGCAACACATCAGATCCAAATGATCAGCTCATCAGCAAGCTCCAGAGGAAGTGGACAATGATCCTGATCCTGTGAATCAGGTGTGTTGCCGCAGGGAGACATGGGAAACAGGCAGGACGGTGACCCTTGACACCTGTGCACTAAGGCCTTGCTTTCAGCTCAAGGTTCGGAACTCGATGCTTCAGTCATATGAGCTCTCTCCTGATGAAATCTTGAAACACTTCTCAGTATTACATAAGAGCGTCCCGAATGAGGCGACACGCGCTCTGAATCGGAACTCCGGTCGGGACGCCCGTTTAGATCGAGACACGCCCCGAAGCCCTGCTTTCTTTGGCCCGTCACTGCTTAATACGGCGTTGTACGATCAGGCGTGTCATCTTTTCTGTAGGTTCGCATTTTCTTTCTCAGTCTACCCCTCTCAGACGCTGGATACGGTTTCAAAGAGAATTACAATTTGAGACTGACCGTTTCCAAACCGTTCATGACTAGACAGGGACAGCCATCTAGAGTCCATGGATCGCATACAAAGGGTGTTTTATTCAGACCAAAACACACACCCGCACACTCAAACACAGTTTTAAGAAAAAAGGTTCCGATGTTGCTCATTACAAGAATGTCATGGCGTTCACTTCAAGTTGTGCGCACGCGTACACACAGACAGTACATTTGAGTGTCAAAGCCCTGCTGAGGTTCAGTAAATGTAGCGACTTCTAATGTGTACATATGTAGTGATATGCCGCCCCCTAAGGTGGCACGAGCTCACACTCAAATTGTTCAAGTTTAAAAATCATGTAAGCATTTGCGATCATTTTTTTTTCTTTTCAATGAAAAAAATATAGCATCAAAGCTAATACTTGCCACGTGCACTTCCAAAGCACCGTTGCACATTTTTTTGGCCGTCATTCGAAAATATCACGCATGCTCTATATTCAAAAGGAAAGAACCACAAAACAGATCATATAAAAACAAAACGCTTTTAACAATTTCAGTATAAAACATAGAACGGGCCGATCAAACAAATTCACTGTCGCCGTTTTGACATTGTCAAGCATTCTAACCACACGATGCATACAATTCTTTATTATTATTTTTTTAAGTCGTTAAGTGATTCTAGTTAAGTGGGGAGGTATAACAACACAAATGCTAAACAATCACTCTTGGCTTGCTATCATCATCATCATCATCATCATGACCCCCAAAAAATAAGAAATAAAAAAGCTCTGGTCTGGTTATGGAAGGCCAGAAAAGTGTGGTTGGAGGTGGGCCGTCTACACCGTCTTCTGCTGACCCTTCTTCCCGATGAGAGATTTGTGGATGTGTGGGATGACACCTGGACCAGCACAAACACAAATGGTCAGACTGCACATTTTGACACAATGTGACATCAAACCGACAATTCGCAAGCGTTGAAAACAATTGCAATCATTTGAAGTATATTTCAGTAGCGTGTGGGATGATTTGTACAGTCCCAAAAAAATCGTTTCCCATCAAAATCGCCGCGCACTAGTTGACTGTACGCGATTGAATCTCTCCTGTGTGATCAACGCGATTTCACTGTGCCTCGATGTGTGATTGTGGTATGGTGTGTGACGTTTTTTCTTCTATTCTACCTTTGCTTTGTTTTTATTCAGTGGTGGTGGTAGTGGTGGTGGTGGGGGGGGGACATGATGTGCGCATGCGGGTTGCTATTTTAGTGTGTACGCTGAGAAAGCGCACGGATGATGGACAGAGATGGCGGCGAAATAAGAAAAACAATGAAAGGTGTATTAGTTACTCCATTTAAGAAATGGGCGCAAACCATCCTTTGCAGTTTTTCACTTCTGGCTGCCGGTTACCCAATTGTCGGTGATAAGCGAGGGATCACGGTACATATACAGGGTGTCCATGAGTGTCGTCAGTAGGGGGAGCCATAAATCACCACTCAACGCTTTACAGCCATGACCAGCACTACAGAGCAACTTGGGAGACCAGACGAACAAATAATATATAAAGTACGGAAGGCAACAGCTCTTCTGCTGGTGGCAGGTCTGATTTTGAAAGGCGATTATGGAGGCCGCGCTTCGGGAAAATGTCACGATTTGGTGCGCGTGCGACTCACCTCCACCGGCAATAGTGGCCTTGATGAGCGAGTCCAACTCCTCGTCTCCACGGATGGCCAACTGCAAGTGGCGAGGAGTGATACGCTTCACCTTCAAGTCTTTGGACGCGTTGCCCGCCAACTCCAGGACCTGAACATCTCACAAAACTTAACCGTTAAAACACACGTAAGAAGAATGATCCCAATATATTATTTTAAGCGGTCTAATTTTTTTTTTTTCGTCAGGTGGTTGCATCAAATTAAATCATGCGGATCCCGGCACATTTTTCAAGCAGTCTGAAAAAAAGCCCCCCCCCCCCGCCTTTTGGGAAGTAGCCTACTGAAAAAATATATGCGGACACAGACGGTTTCATTTCGCGCAACCACCTGGCAAAATAAAACAGAGTAAAGTCAATTTTTTTTCTTCATTCGAGCACTCAAATATCCAGAAGAGCACACACGAAAGAATACCCACAAACACCCACACAAGAAGACAGGAACACAAAGATGCAAAAACGCTCACAAAACACACTGCGACACACATGCGCATGCACACACACAGAACCATAAGAACACATGCAAGCAAGAATACCCTGTGACACACGTGTGAGAGAACAAGTATGCAAGACCCCCCCCCCTAATAAGCACAACACTCACTTCAGCGGTGAGGTACTCTAGAATGGCGGCGCTGTACACGGCGGCAGTGGCGCCGACGCGACCGTGGCTGGTGGTGCGAGTCTTCAAGTGTCGGTGAATACGTCCCACTGGGAACTGAAGAGGCGGAGGGGGAAAAAAAAAGACATTGAATCAAATATCAGTAGGACTTCAAATGGTGTGTACGCACACGCACACATACACACACACACACGAGCCACAAAATCTCTGCGGTGGTACTGTACGGTTTGCGTGTCGGTCTTGGGTGCGATGGCGCTCCCTCCCTTACCTGTAGGCCGGCCCTCTGCGAGCGAGACACCGCCTTGGCCTTGGCCTTGCCGCTGTCTTTTCCTGCCTTGCCGCCAGCCTGCGGGCAGCAATACAAGCTCACAATGTCATCGGCATTTTCTTCAGGCCTAAGAGAGCAACGTCTTCGCGTTTGTCGCGGTATCTGAGCACCCAAAAACGCCATCCCAAGATCAAGTGCGGACGGTTGGTCCCAATGCATGTACCAACCACATCACCCGATTTCAAAACGAGCTCCCCGTCCCCTTCGCGAATACCAATTGGACAAACGGGCACCAAAACACGTCACGGGGTTGACAGCAGGTGACGATCCAACAGCCAATAGAAAGCAGCCGTTACTTGCTCATGACCAACTGAACTCTATAATTGGTAATACGCAAAATGACTGGGGAAAAGGTCATTTGGCAAAAAGAAAAAAAACTTCCATCGGCAAATTAACATTATTTTTCTGCCTTTTTTTTAGATTGACATCTACATTTGTGCAAAAATATGTTGCTTCTGTTTACATTTGATACGGCAGCACTCGTGAATGCAGGAATCACTTGACAGAGGGCTGTTTCATTAATGTCACTTCAATATAAAGTGAGCAAAGGTAAGCAGTCATAGTGTTATCTAGTTTCTTTCATCGAATAACCGAAACCATATCGTGGGACATTGTTATTGTGATATAAACTGGCCAATGTTTTCTTCTATATCACCCACCTCTAGGTTGAACTCTTGAACTTTTCAGAATTCTAACCTCAACCTCATTTTTAAAAATTCATTTCACCTCTTTTAATGATTAAGCTCCCGCCTCATCCTTACACCCCCCCCCCCTCCTTGTTGTTGTTGTTATTTCACAACGAACTCCATCGAAATTTCTCAACGGCGTAACTGCTGAATTTTTCAATAAAGACGAGAAACAAAACCCAAGAGGCGAAGGAGTAAGGCAGCACTTTGGACATGAGAGCTCGAGCCACGAGGGCACGAGCCGGCACATTTGCATCCGCGCACAAGTTGGACTTGAGAGTTCTCGCGCGATTCGCGGCAAAAAAAATAACGCTCGCCGGCCAGTTGGCGCTCACCGCAAAAGAACCACTACTGATGCAAAAAATACGACAATTATTTTGGTCCCACAAAAATAATAGGTCTAATGTATAGAAGAGCATTTAAAGACAGAAAAATAGCAATATTAAAAAAGAAACTAAACATTAGGAGGGAAACACACGACTAATCATAAAAATATAAACAAACTTTGAACTGATTTTTTTTTTTGTCAAGACAAAAACGTTTTACAAATGGAAAAATACAACCATATCGTGCAAGAAAATAATATTTGGAAATATATCATGTGATTCAGCAAAGACTGAAAGGAGGAATCGAAATAGAAAAAAACTCGCATCTCGTTTCAAAACTATTGAGATACCACTTTGGGTGCAATTTAATAATTGCGGGAGCATAGTTTAACTTGCTCACGGCTGACAAAAACTGTCGCTTAAAAGATAGAAGTGTGCCTGGAAAATGAAATACAATAAATTAACTCGTACTTGTGGTCCCTCCGTTAATGCTAACGCTTTAGCTGTGACAGTTAGCCAAACACCTTGTGATTCCACGCGGCGCTTTCTTTCTAGTTATGACAAATATCTTAGTTTGGTTTTTTTTTCCCTTTTGATGAGTACACCCCGACCCACCGCAAGCTTGCAATACAAGTAGACGCGTACATACCATTTTCCTCCTCTTGATTTGATTGAAGAACTGAGTAGCGAGCAAATAATTTGGGTTTCCGAGCGCAAAGAAACAACAAAGCCCCTTTTCGCAAGTCTTTTTTGTGAAAGCCGTGATGGGAGGCCTGGCGTCCAATCAGATTGCGTGTTGTTCCTTCGAATCTTCGCATTGACCAATAAACGCACGACTTGCAAGGTCCACCCATCCCCCAACCGGAGATTATATCGCGCCTGCCTTTTGCGCACGCAACCGCCGGAATCGAGTACACTTCCGGGGGCGTTGACATTCCACTTGAAGGGCAACAATTTCGGCGAATAGAATCTCAGGATTGAAGCCGATTTCGGACTGGCAAACATGGCGACCAATCAACATTCAGTTTTGGGTTGTTTTTTTTTTGCCCAAATGGACGATCGAGGGTCCTTTCCAGTGCCATCCCTTCCCAATTCGATACAAAATAGGTCAAAAGGATATCGTTGCTGTGAAAATCACATATGTGTGGTAAACCTCTTATTAACACGTTTAGCCGTCAGCTCCAAATGTCGATTACCGCTCAAAACGCCTTCTTGGAGCGATAACATGACTTGAGGATGTTGCAGTTTCTAACTGCAAATACGAGAAAGCGCGTCAAACGACGAGGGCGTTTAAATTACACTTGACGGACAAGTGAACTGGCGAATAGCCACGCATGATTGAGGATTGGCAACCGGGGCAACCGATAAGCATCCAGTATCCTATTACTTCCTCGCCAAGTAGGCGGGACTTATCGCGGAGTGTCCTTCCTGGGGTAACATTCCTGGGGCATCCTTTCTCAAAGCTGTACAAAAGACACAATTTAGGTCATCGAAATATTGTATATCACGCATCAATATTAAACCTCTTCGAGTGTACAGGATGGGTTGTGAGCTAGAAACACTGATAAACTATGAAAAAAAAACGTTGTAGCACAACACTTTTCAACTGTCAATGCAAAATAAGGTAACACGTCACCAAGGAGGGCGTTGATATTCGACCTGACGGACAATGGACTCGGCAAATAAAAACGCAATAATTCGTCGAATACGCAGATTGGCACCCTTGATGACCAATGAGAATCCCGTATCCGGGTTCAGTTTCTTTCCTCCGCGGCAATAGCGAGCAAAACGGGCGTGGGTCAAAGATACGTCGACACGAGCTGCTGGTGGCGAAGATGGCGGATGGGGACAGTGGAAGTGAGCGTGGAGGCAGCAGCGGCGGCGGCGGTGGAGGAGGAGGTGGGGGAGGCAGCGGCGGCTTCCAGCATTACCAGCGGGAGCCCGAGACGCAGGAGCTGGCTTCGAAGAGACTGGACATTCAGAACAAACGCTTCTACCTTGACGTGAAACAGAACGCCAAAGGCCGGTTCATCAAAATCGCCGAGGTCGGCGCAGGGGGCTCGAAGAGTCGGCTGACCCTGTCCATGTCGGTGGCGGCCGAATTCCGTGACTACCTCGGGGATTTTATCGAACACTACGCCCAGCTGGGGCCGAGCACTCCGGAGCAGATCGCCCAGTCGGCGGGCGGCGATGACAGCGGGCCTCGGCGGGCCTTGAAGAGCGAGTTCCTGGTGCGAGAGAACCGCAAATACTACCTCGACCTGAAGGAGAATCAACGGGGTCGCTTCCTCCGCATCCGCCAGACCGTCAACAGAGGCCCGGGCTTCGGTGTCGGCGCGGGGGGGATGCCCGGCTTGCAGGCCGGACAGACCATCGCGTTGCCAGCCCAAGGCTTGATCGAGTTCCGCGACGCCTTGGCCAAGTTGATCGACGACTACGGCGGCGATGACGACGAGCTGGCCGGCGGCGGTGCAGGAGGGCCGATGGGCTACGGCGAACTCCCGGAGGGCACCTCCATCATGGTGGACTCCAAGCGTTTTTTCTTCGACGTGGGCTCCAACAAGTACGGCGTGTTCTTGCGGGTGAGCGAGGTGAAGCCCAGCTACAGGAACTCTATCACCATCCCCTTCAAGGCCTGGGCCAAGTTCGGCGGCGCCTTCAGCCGCTACGCCGAGGAAATGAAGGAGATCCAAGAGCGCCACCGGGACAAGGGCTTCGAACGCCGGGCTGCGGAGGAGTCCGAAGGTGAAGACGTGGATGACGACTGACGACCCACGGATTACTGTTTTTGTTTGGTTTGATGCTAAAGCTAACAACAAGGCGGGTATTACCGAGATACAGGGCGACCATTACGTGCATGAGAAATCGAACTATTTTAAAGGCGGAAGCTAAACAAGATATATAAATATATGACTGAGAATTTAGTGTCTGGGGAAGGGGTATGGGTTGGGGGGGGGGGGTTACGTGGATGTAAGAGATATATAACACGTCGGTCAGGTCCTGTATGAGATACCCCGATTGATTGTGTGTGTGTGTGTGTGTGTGTGTGTGTGTATATATATATACACACACACACACAAATACTATTAGTACATTTGATAGCTGAGGACAGACAAATTAGAGGTTCCACTTCCTGGTTGAGAGCCAATCAGAAGAGCCCACCTCGAGGGCCAGTCAGAAAGAGACCCCCCTACTCGAGAGCCAATCAAAGGGGCTCATCTGACTTGTGGTTTGTGGCACACCAGCAACAAACTGGCGGGAAGGCGTCTAATTTCAATTGCTGTGGTCCCCTTTCCTGGTTCAGAGCCAATCGGAAGAGCTCACCTGACTGACTTGGTCGCGTCTGGGCCCCTGGCAACATGGATGGAGTCCGTTCTGGGGAGACCCGTTTCAGGCACATTCTGTGGAGGAACAAAACACCCGAATATTCCGCTTCACCCTGGGGAAGGCCATTTTGACGCAAGAGGTGGCAGCACTTTGGAGTTACATTGGCATATCCCAATTATTTCCAGCGGTTGCCAATTCTGTCTTTGGTTTTGTGTGCGTTTTGTGTTTGTGTGACATCCATAGCAGCTGATGATATCACACAAAGCAAGCTCCCACCCCCACTCCCACTCGGCTCCCCAATTTTCAGACTTACCGAAGGAAAATGTTGGATCGGAATGTTGGATCTCTCAAGTCAAATTTGGTGCTTTAGAGGGGAAAACAAAACAAAAACAAGGGTGCTGTACTAAAGTATAAAAAAAATCCAAGGATACATAAAATTATTTTTCAAAAGAGATTTATTGAATTATATCTCAGAAATGTGAGATTTTTATTTTCGAAAGTGACTTATTAAAAAAAAGTAAAAACACTATAGATAAGACTTGGTCGTACCTGTTTTTTCTTTTTTCTTTTATTTTCCAAAGAGCAGGGTTTCCCAAACTGAGGCTCAGTGGGCCACTTTGGGTCTTGGCAGGGTTTTATCATAGCATAGTCATGTATGTTGTGTTGTTTATTATTCATTTCCATGATCTGACAGAAGTACATCGTGTCTATTAGATTTGCTTTTCAGCGAGGAACCACATTTTGACTTTTTTGTCCACTTGACATACTTTCTTGTAATAGTGCATACTGCAATTGGCTACCTATTTCGAAAAGGAGATGAACCTTAATCTTAGAGTAGTACATTTTTACAAGACAAATATTTTAACCTGTAATATTTACAAATTTATCCTTTAACATTGTGGGCGACATTTTGAGAGTTTTTTTTTTTTTTTTTTTTAAATGGCTTGCCGCTTATTGTCATAGCAGCCATGTATGGCGTGTTGATGATCGTAAATTTCGACATGAATGGACATTTTGAGTTTGGGAAACCCTGCCTTTGAGTTGAACAAATTGCCGTTTGTTTTCTTGCAGCACTCCAGCTCACTTTACAGGGCGTCAGGCCTCGTTTGTCACCTTTTTGTTCTCGATCGAGTTCTCTCATTGAAAAACAAAAAACACCACCACCATCGACTTATTTTTTTCTTCTTTTTGCATGCCTGCTCTCTTGCTGCCTTGTTTTTGTTTTGAGTGCCGTACGAAGATATTTATCCTTTTATTTTGAGAGCGATTGCAAGTTTTGATGTGTTGATATTAAAAAAAAAAAATGAACAAGCATCAGACAATTGTCACTCATGTCATTGTCGCGCCTCCTTTCTAAACGTCTTGTTTTTTTGTTTGCTTTGGGGTTATTTTTGTAAAATGATATTTGAAAAGACGGAAAATATAAACTCTGAGCAATAGCTTTGTTCATTTTTCACTTGGGGTTATTTTTGTAAAATGATATTTGAAAAGACAGAAAATATCAACTCGGAGCAATAGCTTTGTTCATTTTTCACAGATTTCGAAATATATGAATATAAAAAGGGTCAATATCTTTGTTCTCGTCGCAGTCAGACTCAGATGTATTGGTCATGTATGCGAGAAATACACGAGGAATTCACTTTCCCAGTTACAACCCGTTCAGAGGAACATAGACCAGACTAACATGGGCGAGACAGAACGAGAAGTTTGGAGAGTTGCTGTTCAGTCATCCCATTGACTGAATTTTCTTGAAATACTTTGCCCCATATAATTACACCATGTTCTCCTTATACTAAAAAGTTGCAATGTCAAAACACGTCGTAGCACAGCTACAATGAAAACAATGTCTACTTTTTTTTCATCGAACAAGATGTGACAATACAACTTTGCAAATTTCCGACCGGATCTCACTGAAATAAATAACAGTCGTATTCAAACTTCTTCGGTAGGGTAACTTCATTCTCTCAACTCATTTGAAATTCTTCTAAGTATGACTAGATTCTTTAATGTTTTTTGTGAATTGATTCTCCTCATTTTATGCTCTTCTCCTCACTTGTCAACTGGTCACAAAGCAAGCAAGAAATGCATCGATGGCCAGAGGATCGAGAGCCGATAGCAGCTAACGGGGACCGTGAGGGGCCCGCACGTAGCCCCAAAAATACACACGGAGGTCGACGGGGCGTCGAAAAGCCTTGACAGAGCGCCTTTGGTTTTGCAAGTTCTGAAAGTGAGCCGGCTGTCGTCTTATTTTGTTGGTACAGCGAAGCGGCTGCCAGCCGTCATTCTATTTCTCGCCATTGCTCAGCCCTCCACCACAAACAAGCGTGTTAACAACAACCCTGCCCAATTTACACGCGACCCCCCGCACAAAAAATAAATAAATAAACAATTCGACGCCAGACTAACAGCATTTCAGTCCTACGTCGATCTCGAGTCTCTGCAGACGCTTTCAGCATTGATCTTCACACATGTATACTGTACCTTTGTCTGGATTCCCTTTGCAGGGACAAAAATCGCACTTTTCTGTACCATTACTGGTCAGTTGCCGGCACACGGGGATGATTATTGCCCACCGTGCGTCCTCAAGTGTGCGCTCAAATGGCTGGGGTGAACGAAGCTTTCGCTGCAAAGCGAGCACGCCAACGCCTTCTCCCCCGCGTGCGTCCTCGAGTGCGACTCCATGTGCGCCTTTTGCGTGAAGCGTTTCCCGCAAAGCGAGCAAGCGAAGGGCTTCTCCCCGCTGTGCGTCCTCATGTGCAGCGCCATGTTGGCCTTGTGCGTGAACGTCTTGGCACAAACGCCGCACGCGAAGGGTTTCTCCCCCGTGTGCGTCTTCCGGTGCGCCACCATGTTGGGCTTGTGCGAGAAGCTCTTCCCGCACAGCGGGCAGGCGAAGGGCTTCTCCCCCGTGTGCGTCCGGGCGTGCGACGCCATGCTCTCCTTGCGGAAGAAGGTGGCGCCGCACACGGAGCAGCCGTAGGGTTTTTCCCCCGTGTGCGTCTTCCGGTGCGCCACCATGTTGGGCTTGTGGAAGAAGGACTTTGCGCACACGGAGCAGGTGAAGGGCTTCTCCCCCGTGTGCGTCCTCTCGTGCGCCACCAGCGAGATCTTCTGGGCGAAGCCTTTGCCGCACGCCGAGCAGCTGAAGGGTTTCTCCCCCGTGTGGATCCTCACGTGCGACACCAAGTTGGACTTTTTGGAGAAGTTTTTACCGCAAACGGAGCAGGGAAAGGCTTTCCCTCCGGCGTGGCTCAACGCATGGACGTCCAAACTACCCTGACACGGGAAGATTCGATCGCAAACTGAGCAAGCGAAGGGGCCGACGCTGGCGTTCGTGCCGTCACCTTGGCGGCCCGAGGGCGTCGTCAAAGGCTCTTCGGCGTGGCCGTCGGCCTCGTCGCCGCTGCTGCCGTGATTGGACTCAGGCGGCTCCTCGTCGTCTTCGCTCTTTACGGAAATGGTGGTCAGAGGCAAATGGCTGCCGTCAGTCTCCCCTTCCTCATCCTTAATGTGGAAGGGCTGCAGTCCTGCCGCTTCGCCTTTGACGTAAGACGGCGACCGCGCCACACGGGAACTCCCAAACTGTGGAACTTCTTGTTGGTGTACTTGGCCCATTAGCTGCTGGCCGTCTGTGGGACACAAATGAGTCAAATGTTTAGTAAGTCGTTTCTTCAAATTAGCAACGCAATTAACAATTATTTTAATAATCGATGAACCTCTTGATTATTTTGTCGATTAATCCGATTTTTAAAAGTACCTTTTCTCAGTGAGCGCCTTTTTCCTCCAGTGCACCACTTTTTTCAACATGGAAATAGACCCATTCTATTCCATGACATTTTACCTCATCAGACCACGACTTTAGTTTTTATTATATTACACGTTAATTCTCAAAGCTGTTAACTTTTTTTGTGCTAAAAATTTATAAAAATGAGTCATTTCAACTATTGTATAATATGCACAGCTTTTTCGTAAAACAGAAGCAGAATTTCCTCTCGTATTGTACGAGAATAAAGTATGACTGTGATTAAAACATATGTTCATTTTCATTTTTTCAGTATTAGTGTTGTTCATGGTACGCCTTTGTAAACGTCGTTTCAAACAATCATCCAAAATGTAATTTACGATTCGGAATCGTCTATGAAACCGTTGAAATTGCGACAACGTGACGTCATTTTTCGTATTGATCCAGATGTATATGTGTGTGTGGCCTACGAGAGAAGGTGAATGTGTTCAATGGAGAAAGTCATCGCGGCTGTCGAAAACGTAATCGAGGCGACGAACAGACCTTGGATGCGCAGCACCGCCTGGGCAGCCTCCAGTTGTCGTTGTTGTCGGGCGTTCTCTTCTCTGGCTCGACCAAGTTGCTCCTCGTACGACGCCATGGTTGTTTGGAAAAGCACGAAGATCTCTTCGGCGGCCGCAATTAGTCGCTCCCTCACCAACTCTTTCAACATTTTAATGTTTTTTGTCCCTGCGTTTCGACACCGCTTCGGTTAGCTGCTGTTGCGGCTTTTCCACTGATTTTCTAACTTCCGCCTTTTTCTTCTTCGTTGGTGCCATGGCGGCGGCGGCGGCGACGTCAAACCGTCGCTGTTTTGCGACAGTATTTTTAACATGAACATAGAAATTAGTCGCTCCCTCACCAACTCTTTCAACATTTTGTTTTTTGTCCCCCCGTTTCGACACCGCTTCGGTTAGCTGCTGTAGCGCCTTTTCCACTGTTTTTCTAACTTCCGCCTTTTTCTTCTTCGTTGGTGCCATGGCGGCGGCGGCGCCGTCAAATCGTCGCTGTTTTACTACAGTATTTTTAACATGAACATAGGACAAACCTGCCAGGCCGAAGATTTCGTCGCCGGACGCACACAGTTCAACGAGTGCAGGAACGACACATGTCTCGAACGGGTTCTTTTCTTTTTCGATTGTACCGTTACGGCGGAACGTCAAACAGCCTCCATCTTGCGGCGGCACTGACGGATTGAGCCAAAAGCAAAGGGCATCGACGCCAGAATACAAATCGTCTTTATAGACAAGAAAAACCATACACAGTCACATTACTGTTGCTAGGTATAAATGTTATATTATTTTTGTACATTTTATACGTGATGGTCACACTACAACTATATAGACCATGACGACTGCGCACACTTACTTGCACGCCCACACACACAGCAACGAATCATTTTCTCTGTGAAGTCAAATATAATGACCCCTGAAAATAGTGATGTTGAGTTCTAATACAGTGTCAAGGGCAACAGTGATTTGTAGTGTACAGCACAATTTATCATTTATCTTCAGAAGAGCACTTTTTAAAAAGTGGACCGTTGTAAAAGTTCTATTCCGTTTTGTGCTTTCGCTTATGTGTATTCAAATTGCATTTATAACTAAACCTTAAACCACAAACTGAACAACTAAAAGGTTTTTCTCCTGTGTGTGTTATCATGTGTGATGCAAGATGGGACTTTTGAACGAAAGCTTTACCACAAACTGAGCAAAGAAAGGGTTTTTCTCCGGTGTGTTTTCTCATGTGTATAATCAATACCGAATTGTTAGCCAAATGTTTTCCGCAAACAGAGCAGATAAAACTTTTTTTACGTGTTTGTGAAGTTCCCTTGTTGCCAAGAGTTGTCTTCTTTTGAAAATAAGTCAAATGTTTGTTGGCGCCATCACAATCTGCGGCGCTCCTCAAAGGACCTTCCGTGTCGTCACTGTCTGACAGAGGAGCTAAAAAATTGTGCGGCGGTGGTCCCGGACTGTAACAAAGACATTTTGACCACTCGGGTTGTTTGTCGGCTTCGCTCCCCTCCAAGACAGCGGTCAGTGGAAAGTTGTTGACATCAACCTCCTCCTCTTCCTCCTTAATGACGAGGCGGCGTGGACGCTCCGTTTCCTCTTTCGAGTGTGAGGGCTGTTGATCCTCCTCCTCCAAACCGGAGCTCCCTCCGCGCTGTTGGACGTCTGCAGGCCAAAAACAGCCACTTCAGCAGGAGTAGAAACAGTGATGAGTCCATTCCAAACACTCCTCATGACCACATATTGAACAGCCAGTGGGCAAAAAAAGTAATAATAATAATAATAGTACTGGAATAAAAAACGTGTCCTTTTGTCTAGTCAGACTAACTACACTACTGCCCACCCATGCTCCTCATATAGATATAAATTCAAGCTAAAATACCGTTTTCCTGATCCGTCTACATGTCACGTGACGTCAGGGCGATGATACGAGCGGCTGATTGGCGAAATCAAGATGGTTTCCGCCCATCGCTTTGTTTTCCTTGCTAGCCTTTACACGGTGACTTTCCGTCGCTTAAACAATCGCCCATCCATCCATTATCCGAGCCTCTTCTCCTCAGGAGGGTCGCGGGCTTGCTGGAGCCTATCCGAGCCTCACACAGTCACATTACTGTTGCTAGGTATAAATGTTAGATATTATTTTAGTACATTTTATACGTGATGTTCACACTACAACTATATAGAGCATGACGCCTGCGCGCACTTACTCGCACGCCCACACACACAAAAATGAATCATTTTCTCTGTGAAGTCATAATGACCCCTGAAAATAATGATGGTGAGTTCTAATACAGTGTCAAGGGCAATAGTGATTTGTAGTGTACAGCACAATGTAACATTTATCTTCAGAAGAGCACTTTTTAAAAAGTGGACCGTTGTAAAAGTTCTATTCCGTTTTGTGCTTTCGCATATGTGTATTCAAATTGCACTTATAACTAAACCTTAAACCACAAACTGAACAACTAAAAGGTTTTTCTCCTGTGTGTGTTATCATGTGTGATGCAAGATGGGACTTTTGAACGAAAGCTTTACCACAAACTGAGCAAAGAAAGGGTTTTTCTCCGGTGTGTTTTCTCATGTGTATAATCAATACCGAATTGTTAGCCAAATGTTTTCCGCAAACAGAGCAGATAAAACTTTTTTTACGTGTTTGTGAAGTTCCCTTGTTGCCAAGAGTTGTCTTCTTTTGAAAATAAGTCAAATGTTTGTTGGCGCCATCACAATCTGCGGCGCTCCTGTCCTCTCTCGCTCGACGAAGTTGCTCCTCGTACGACGCGATCGTTTTCTCAAAAAGTCCGAAGATTTCGTCGGCGGCCGCAATGAGTCGCTCCCTCACTAACTCCTTCAACATTTTGGATCCGCTCCGATCTATTGCGGACGGTTGGGCGAGCGGCGAATAACACCAGTTCAATTGATTGGCGAAATCAAGATGGTTTCCGCCCATCGCTTTGTTTTCCTTGCTAGCCTTTACACGGTGACTTTCCGTCGCTTAAACAATCGCCCATCCATCCATTATCCGAGCCTCTTCTCCTCAGGAGGGTCGCGGGCTTGCTGGAGCCTATCCGAGCCTCCTTCGGGCAGCAGGCGGGGTCCACCCTGAACTGGTAACCAGCCAATCGCGGGGCACACGACGACAAGCGACCGTTCACAATCACAGTCACACCTCGGGCCAATCTAGAGGTTTGAAATCATTTTGAGAAAAACGGTCACAGGTCATGTGCAAATGAGCTCTCTCGGGTCGGAAAATGCTTCACGAATGCGTATGACTAATTCACATGTTGGTTTCGCTATTTACCTAAAGCAGACGCCATCAAAGTACTTTTAAACCTCACATGGGCTGATAACATGGTGCAAGTGTGCAGCAGAACCGGTACCTTGGACTCGTCGCACAGTCGGAGCGTTGTAAAGGGCTTTCAGTTGCCGACGGTGTCGCTCGGCCTCCTCTCTCGCTCGACCAAGTTGCTCCTCGTACGACGAAATGGTTCTCGCAAACAGTCCGAAGATTTCGTCGGCGGCCGTAATCAGTCGCTCCCTTATCAACTCTTGCAACATCCCGACGCTGTAACGGGTGCAAGCAGACAATTCGCTCCTCGCCCCTCGCGCCGGGGATGATGTCCAGTTGAAGCGCGGCTCGACACGCTCGGGCCCGCCAGCTGGTTTCTTCCTCGACGACGCGCTCACGGCGGCAAGGCGCCCGGACGTCGAACGGCCGCCACCTTGCGGCGGAATTGACGACGACTTGGAAGCCCGTCAGAAAATGATTTTCCGACGGGCTTCCAAGTCGATTTTCAAAATCGCCGCCAAGGAATCGAGATCGCACTCGAAAGACTCAACGGACGCCAACGCGATGCGACAGATATGTTTTATGCTGCGTCTTTGAGACCGTTTACAGGCGACGTTCACATTTCGCGAGACCGCAGAAATGTTCCAGGCGACAACAAGCACCGGTGCAGCATGGTCAGCGAGCCTGCCAAAATCGGGCGAAGGCGATCGATCACGACGAGAATGATTGGTAGTGTTCAGCAGAGACAAACGTGTCCAGATCTTCAGAAAAGGGGGCGCCGACAACTACTGGACTAGGGCGAAGCTGTTTTCATTCTCTCGGCGTTATGCACGCGCATGTGCACCTTCAAACTGGACCGATGACGAAAGTTTGCGCCGCAAACTGAGCAACTGTAGGGCTTTTCTCCGGTGTGCGTTCTCATGTGGATTTCCAAATGATACCTTCGAGAAAACGTCTTGTGACAGACTAAGCAACTAAAAGGTTTTTCCCCAGTGTGTGTTTTCATGTGCGTGGCGATGCTCGGCTTTTGAGCAAATCTTTTGCCGCAAACCGGGCACGGGAACGGTTTTTCTCCCGTGTGTGTTCTCAAGTGGATATTCAAAATGGAATTGGCGCCGAAGGCTTTGTGACAAAAAGAGCAGACGAAACGTTGTTGAGGCCTCTGTGGGGTCGTCTCCTTCGCAGAGTAGCCGGACTGCGCGTCGTCACCTTGGCGGGACGCGTGGCTCCTCGGAGGCTCTTCGAAGCGCGGCGCAACGAGGTGGTGTGCCGGCGCTCCACCGCTGTCGTCGCCACTCAGGCCGTGACGACGGAGCGTCAACCTCTTGGGTGGCTTGCCTTCATCCTCCCCGGTCTCGTCAGGCAGGGCAAACGCGACGATGTCTTCCTCCTTCACGCGGGGGTGCTGGAGATCCCTCGCGTCCTCTTTCGTGGAGACGGGCTGTGGGTTCTCTTCTTCCCCGACAAAGCTGAGGGGCTGCGGATGCTCCGGCTCCGCACTGGAGCACCCCCATTGCGGTTGGATATCTGCAAGGTACGAGCAACACAACCGCGGAACGTATCACGATTTAGGCAAAATATAGAGAGAGAATGAGAGAGAGAGACAGAGATTGGTGGAGCAACGCAAAACAAGAACACATTTTACAGTCAGTGAAAAAACCAACAAGAGGTTGTGGTTGCATTGTGTGGCTTCAAACAAAGGCGGACAACACTCCAAACGCGAAATTCATGACACAACGATGTTACTGCTCCTTTCACACTAAATGGACTCTTTTGTAAATTTGCTCCAATAAAACGCAAGTACTATGAACACAATGTGGCCTGGACCCTTTTGTTTCAACCGATGTCCCTTTTTCCCCACTGCATCCATCCGTGACCCCGATCTTCTCCTCACAAGGTTTCGCGGGCGGGCGCGCCGCAGCCGATCCCGGCCGTGTTCGGGGAGCAGGCGGGGTAACACCCTCAACCGGTCGGCGGCCCATCGTAGGGCATGCACACGTAGGCCAACAACACCCACTCGCGCCGACTCGGAGCGTCCAACGAACCTACCGCGCATGTTTTGGGAATGTGGCAGGAGATCGACGTACCCGGTGAAAAGCCACGCAGGCACGGAGAGAACATGCGAACTCCACACAGGAAGGCCGGAGCCGGACTCGAACGCCGCACCCTGTGCACTGCGAGGCGGACGCGCTAACCGCTCGTCCGGCGAGCGTGTTCCTGACGCGAATCAAGTGTTGGAAACATCGAGAGGGACCGCGAACGAACACACCTTTGACCCGGATGACAACTTGAGCGTTGTAAACATGCTCCAGTTGGCGTCGATGTCGTTCGCTGTCCTCTCTCGCTCGACGAAGTTGCTCCTCGTACGACGCGATCGTTTTCTCAAAAAGTCCGAAGATTTCGTCGGCGGCCGCAATGAGTCGCTCCCTCACCAACTCCTTCAACATTTTGGATCCGCTCCAATCTATTGCGGACGGTTGGGCGAGCGGCGAAAAACACCAGTTCAACCTCGCTTTTTGTCCCTCGTCGTCCGGTCCGGTCCAAGCTCGGACAACCAAACCAACTTCCGGCTCTTTTCTTCTTCGGCGGTGCTTTTCCGGCAGCATCCGACACGGCAAACGGCCGCCATCTTGCAAAGGTATTGACGACGGGTGAACAGCAGAGGAAATAAAAAAACACCCTCAAAGACGTCAGAATGCAACATGAAACATGAAAAGAAGACGCGCGGCGGTAAACTCACGTTTTCTACTATTTTGGAGTAATTGACACGCAACGTTTACATTTTGAGAACACGCCGTTGTATTTGTAAATTGGCACCTTACTTTCTAGGTGCAGCTCAAAAGAAGACACCAATATAGACCACGAAAACAATTTATCGCGCCCTGGACAGGAAGAAACATGAAACGGAACATTTCCAGCTTTTGAAGCGGGTTCTGACTACTGCAAAAGATTTATTCTCTCTGTTTTGTGTCTGCGCATGTGCGCGTTCAAATTGGAGCGATGGCGAAACCTTCCGCTACAAACTGAGCAACTGAAGGGTTTTTCTCCCGTGTGTGTTCTCATGTGTGACACAAGGTGTGGTTTTTGAGTGAACGCTTTACCGCAAACCAAGCAAAGAAAAGGTTTTTCTCCAGTGTGCGTCCTCATGTGCGATACCATGCTCGGCTTTTGTGTGAATCTTTTACCACAAACGGAGCAATGGAAAGGTTTTTCTCCAGTGTGAGTTCTCAAGTGTCTCATCAATATTGAGTTGTTGGCCAAAGTTTTACCGCAAACGCAGCAGGTAAAATGCTGTTCGCACATTTGTGACGTTTTCTCGTTGCCAAGCGTTGTCTTCTTTGCAGACCGGTTCGACTCTTTGCCAAGGCTCCTCAAAGATTCGTCTGTGCCGTCGCAATCTGACAGCGGGGCTAAAAGGTCATCTGGTAGTGGTGCTCCACAGTGGTCTCCACTTGGACTCTGATGATGAACCTGGGATGACTTGGGTGGTTTGTATTCGCTAGCGTCACTCTCCGCACGGGCAGCGGCCAGTGGCAACTTGCTGACGTGGGCCTCTTCCTCTTCCTCCTTCATGCGGGGGGGCTGCGGATACTCCAAATTGGAGCTCTCCCCGTGCTGCTGGTCGTCTGCGAGACACAAGCGACACAGTTTTGGCTCACGCGCGTCAGTTATCGTGTCATTCTCCCACTTGAAGTTGTTGATTCCAACAATAGCATGTAATCTTTTACACGCACACATAAATATATATATATTGGATGTAAATTCTTTTTTTTTCTTTATTCAACTTCGGCATGCTGATGAATTGAATTGCTGAAGGTCGGAGCGTTATTGAATGATAGGTTTATGTATTTATTTAACGTTTGCACAATGTTACCATGGCTTACAATATGTTGGACTACTTTTCCATTTATTTTAAATAAATTGACGGTAAGCTGCCACATGTTTACGTTTTGGTTTCACATGAATCTGACAAACCGATGCAATGCAATTCATGTTTTATCAAATTGATATCTCATTCAAGCTAAATATTTTTCTCATATGCTTGTATTGCTTTGCATTCAAACGGAGGAAGACCAATTTATTTTTTCTTCATTGATAGGATTTGACCGCCTCTTTGAACCGAGTTTGACCCGTCACGTGACGCCAGGGAAGCGTTTTAATTGGCTGATCGTGAAAGTCAAGATGGCTGCCCTCGGTCGGTTCGAATTCATTCTGTAGCCAAAGTGAGCACACGAAACCATACTGACGAGTTCAAGAGTTACGATTGTGTCGTCGTTTGACTGCAAATCGACCTCTTGGTCGGGAAAAGTGCTCAACCGAATGTAATGTAACATTTTGCGCTCACCGTTTTGGTCAAACGGCCATCCATAATGCATTTTTGAAGCTGTTATTGGATGAATTAAATGTCGAAATAGGGTGCACGTACCATCGATGCGTAGCACAATCTGCGCGCTGCAAACAGCTTCCATTTGTCGTCGGTGTCGCTCGGTCTCCTCTCTGGCTCGACAAAGTTGCTCCTTGTACGACGCGATCGTTCTTTCAAACAATCCGAAAATTTCGTCAGCGGCCGCGAGCAGTCGCTCCCTGACCAACTTTTGCAACATTTGGACGTTACGTGCAGTTCGATAAGCCCCAGAATAACAATCGAGTCGTACTTGTTCCTCTCGTCACAACGGAAGTTTTGCCTTTTTCTTCTTCGACGGTGCTTTTGCGGTTACGCGGCAATCTTCCACGCCAGGCGGCCGCCATCTTGCGGCGGGATTTAACGCGGCTGGAGACCAGTGCGGAAGAGAAATCAAGTGAACATCCAATGTACTTTGGAGGACACTCGGCGCTCCATTTGGGCTCTCCCGAGGAGCTAAGTACGGGCTTCTTTGACTTTGTGCACGTGGTCCTCTTAAAAACTTGATGAGAGAAGAAAGCAGCTCCAACCCAAAGTAGAGGCTACGCTCCATGTTGGGTTTCTTTTTTTGAAATCTGATTTTAATCCAATTGCGTTTGTGTTGTTTCTGCAATGTCTTCATCAGAGATTTTTGGGAAGGAGAACGGAGAACGAGAAGCCCCCCCCCCTCCCCCCACAGACCGACAAAGCAAGGACGGAAGAGGGCCCAAGGAACGCTCGGCCGGAGTTTGCTCGGAAGGTATAGCATAACGACTGTATGAGCGCCATGATCCCGGGCAGGACGCAGCCGATCGTTCACATTCTCAATTGAGGAAAAACAACATGAAAAATAAACAGGAGAGCTTGGAGTGTCCATTTTTGATATCGACAAGCATTTGGACAATGACAGTTTGACACACAACTAAGCAGCTGGCCCGTTTCTAGTTGGAAGGATCACTTACTTACACATGACCAAATCCTTACCGGTTAAGATACCAAAAGTGAGTCGGGACGATGGATGATAAATTATGAGACATCGACTCTCTCCGTGTTGTGCGTGCGCATGTGCGCAGTCAAATTGGAGCGCCGGGCATAGCTCCCGCCACAAATTAGACACGTGAAGGGCTTCTCACCTGTGTGTATTCTCATGTGTGACACCATGCTGGGCTTTTGGGTAAAGCCCTTCCCGCAAAATGAGCAGCCAAAGGGTTTTTCTCCAGTGTGTGTCCTCATGTGCGAAATCATGCTGGGCTTTTGAGTGAATCTTTTCCCGCAAAGTGAGCAGTGGAAGGGTTTTTCTCCAGTGTGTGTCCTCAAGTGTCGAATCAGTATTGATTTTTTAGCAAAACTTTTCCCACAAACGGAGCAGATAAAATGTCGTTGGCACGTTTCGGAAGTTTCCTTGTGGCCAAGAGTCCTCTTTCTGGAGGGTTTGTTGTCACCACGGCCAGCTAAATGCTCGTGCGGGTCCGCCGGTGTTCCTTCACGGCGGGCCCCTTCACTCGGAGGCCGATGAGCAAGCAGCGACGACTCGGGTGCTCTGTTGTTATCGCCGCGGCCGCCGTCTTCAGTCGGCGCAAAGAGGGCAGGAAGCGCAAACTTGCAGACGTCAGCCTCCTCCGCTTCCTCTTTAACACGGAGAGGCCTCTCCTTGACCTCTTTCAGGCGGGTCGGCTGTGGATCGTCGGCCTTGACATCTGCGGAACGTGAGCAACGCAAGCAGGCTTTGGCTCGCGCGTGCCAGGTATATTGTGAAAACGGTTTGAATGGTCACTCACTGCTTTTCTTGTCGCCATCAATTTTTTGAACACGATCGTCATTTCTTTGAGGCGAGGAAGACGGTTCGGGACCATTAAAATTCTTAGGGAACTAATAAAATTCCAATAAAAACACTAAGCGCATGAAATGGAACCAAACCTGCTCGGGGGAAGAGACGGATAGAAAATGAAGGCAGACCAAATGACATTCAATGATGATCGAGTATAATTGCGTCTGAGTTGCGTTGAACCTTCAAAGTCGAAGGCATTGGCATTCAATCGCTCAAGGGTTTGCCCTGGAGCGTTTCGCAAAGCGCTTTCGTTTCACTCGCGTTTGACTCGGCTCACACGTCCGTCAGTCCACTCGGCGTCTATTTTCCGAGACTTGAGTCTACGGCGTAGGCCTGCTGTGTTTTCATCGCGGTCAAGAAAGAATACCGGGAGAGTTTTGGCGTGGTGCGGCGCGCTTGGGACAACGAGTTTGAAAGCCGCTCGAGGCGGCCACCGATGACTGACCTTCGCCGCGGATCCCAACCGGAGTCTCGCGAACGGCTTCCAGTTGTCGTCGGCGGCGCTCGCTCTCCTCCCTGGCGCGACAAAGTTGCTCCTCGTACGACGCGATCGTACTTTGGAACAGGCCGAAGATGTCGTCGGCGGCCGCGAGCAGTCGCTCCCTCACCAACTCTCTCAACATTTTGATGCTGGAAGACCGTTCAAAGGAAATCGCTTCGCTCCTCGTCGTCGCTTCTGCGTTAGCAGCTAGGCTAAACCTTCGTCTTCCTCTTTTTGTGTGTGGTCTGCAAAACAGCGCGTGGGCGCCACCTACCGGACCGGAGTGTAAGCCAAACAAGTTGAACATTTCCACCGGCAGATAAGTGAGTATTTTCCATCGTGTGCATTTCACAAAAAAAGCTTCATGGTCGTCACGGCACGCGCCACAGTCTTGAGCAGAAGTTGCTCCAATGCGTGTCTTACCGCGCGCTTTCTCTCTGGCTTCCCCTGTCCTGAAAAGGAAACCGCCGGACTCCCTGAACAGAGCTTTGCCGGTCTCCGGCCCTGGACAAGTCAGGGGACTTCGTCAAATCGAAAGGAAAACGTCCGAGTTAGAAATAATGGCCGTTAGGAAACTAAGGTCATGGAAACCATGCTAATAGTTGCTAAAGTATACAGCACCACACGAATGAGCCGATTTCGAGTCTTCAGCCGAATGCAGGCCTGTCACCATTCTGCAAGGTCAGCAGAACCCAGGAGGGTCATTTTTGGCCCACAGCTTTTGGAACGAGCTCAGACAGAATACAAAAGATGCTTGGGGGGTTAAGGTGGGCATTCTGCAAGCTACTACTTTAGGAAGTGTTCATTTATGTAGCCTCACAAGTTCACAGCCGCTTCGATTTAGAAACACCTGACAGACACCAACATTGGCAAAATTGTTTGGTCAAAAGAAAAAAAAAAACTGCCTTTGCGTGTTTTTAATGCAGATTCAACCAAGGCACAATCCTGCGTCAAAGCTTTAGGCCACAGTTCCATCTGCGGTGTTTGTTTTAAAAGACAGTACACATGTGGCGGACGCGTTCCATTTTGGCAACTTCGCTTGATCGTTGGGGAGCATCCATCCATCCCTACGCGGTCGGAGAAAAGTAAGTGACGCCACTAGCTGCCGTACTCAAGGGGCAACTGCTCGAGATGGAGAAGGAGCTGCACAAAGGTCAGAATCCAATTCGTCTTTACTGTAAATAATTAAATGCACCCAAAACGACGCCAGATGTAAAAAATTTCGGCGAAAGCAGTACAGTGATCCCTCGCGCACCGTATCTTAGTGTTGTGTGTGCGAGAACGGTTTTTTGTTGAAGTGCTAACTTTTTGGGGGGGGTGAGTTAAGCTGCACTGCGACCCCGTGAGGGCTGAGGCCACGCCTCCCATGCAAGAAGAGATTGTCACCTTTCGCCGGGGGTTTCTGGTCCCCATGGGGGCCGAGTGGAAAATCTCTACTGTCCCTTCTTGTGCGTCCGCGCGTGCACGGTCAAGCTGTTCTTGTGAGCGTAGCGTTCGCCGCAAATGGAGCAGCCGTAAGGTTTTTCTCCCGTGTGCGTTCGCGTGTGTGTGACCAAGTGCGACTTGAGGGAGAAGGCTTTGTGACACAGCGAGCAGGCGTAAGGTTTCTCTCCCGTGTGCACTCTCAGGTGCGAGCTCATGTAATCCTTGCGGGAGAAGGTTTTGCCACAAAGTGAGCAACGAAAGGGTTTTTCCCCCGTGTGCGTCCTGGCGTGTTTCACCTCGTGCGACTTGTGAGCAAATCGTTTACCGCACAGTGAGCACTGGAACGGTTTTTCTCCGGTGTGCGTTCTCATGTGCGACGCCACGTGCGACTTGTGAGAGAAGGTTTTGGCGCACAGCGAGCAGCTGAAGGCTTTTTCCCCCGTGTGTGTTTTGGCGTGCGATATCAGATACGGCTTGTGGGAGAAGGTTTTACCGCAGGTGGCGCAACTAAAGGGCTTTTCTCTGCCGTGCGTCTTCATGTGCGACTCCACGTGTTCCTTGCGCGAGAAGGTGGTGCCGCAGAGTGAGCAACGAAAGGGTTTCTCTCCTGTGTGCGTTCTCCCGTGAGAGTCCAGGTGCGGCTTTTGGGAGAAGGTTTTACCGCAGGTCGAGCAACCGTAGGGTTTCTCCCCCGTGTGCGTTCTCATGTGTCTAATCAGATACTGTTTGGCAAAAGCTTTTCCGCAGACCGAGCAGGTGACGCGCTTTTTGCACCTTGGGGCAGTTTCCTGCTTGCCAGGAGTCGTCCGCTTTTCAGAGCCTTTCGAGTGCCGGTCGTCACTTGGACGCTCTGCGCCGCTCCTCCAAGTTTCTTCTGGGTCGTCACTGTCTGACAGGGGCGCTAAGAGCTTGTCTGAAAGCGGCCCCCCCCCACACTGGTCTCCACGTGGACTGCCATCACGAAACTGCGACCACTCGGGTCGTTCATCTTCATCATCTTCACTCTTCACCACGACGACGGTCAGGGGGAATGTGCCGGCATCAGCCTCCTCCTCCTCCTCCTCCTCTTTCATGTCGACGGGGGGTGGAGCCACCGGCTCCAAAGCGGCGCTCCCTCCGAGCTGCTGGACGTCTGCAAGGCACGAACAATGCGGACGACCGATGAAATTCTCATTCGATTATATGTCGCAGAAAATGGAAAGTCGTTTTTGGGCAGCGTTTCCCCGCCGCATCCGAGGCCTGTCCCTCGCCCCCAGCCCCCAGCCCCGCTGCCTTCAACATTCATGAATAGAAAGCGAGAGGAAGAACAGGTTGTGAATTTGATGTACGTCTGAATTTGAGAGTGTGCCTAAGTATCACCCCGCCCCCACCCAAAAAAAATGAAGGAAATGAATAACATTTGTGGTCGCTGCACAGGTACACAGCAAACGAAATTCACGACTAACGGAGGGAGACTGAATGGATAAATCCGTCTAGTCACCACTTCCAGATCCACAGCCTTTGTCAGATGCAAAAAAATATATAAATAAGGGAAAGGTGCAGACAGCACGCACATCAGTAAGTAATGTGTGTTGATAAATCCCACTTTACCTAAAGTGCCTCACTTGCATTGAGAAATGCCCCCGATTGACCATTTGGATGATCAGCAATCCCTTTCAGAAATCTAAAATCATGGCAAAGAGGGCGGAGAGAATCTCTGAAACCAACAGTGACGTACTTGTCCGAGAAATGGAAACAAATAAATCGTACTCTTTGGAGCTATTTTTGCCGGTGTTAGAAAAAAAAAAAAAAAAAGATTTTCTATCTAACTCAATGACCCCACCTCCCCAAAAAAGGGTGTCACGGCCCACAGACAAGAATTACCTTTAGTTAACTGGAGGACGACATAAAAAAACAAAACAAAGAAACTCCCCCCGAATATAACGAATGTTTGGGGATTTCTTTTTTTGAGAAGGAGTGCAAATATGCGAATGAGCGCTTGTCGAATTGTATCTTAGAAATAAAAAAAAAAACAAACGTCTCACAATCCATGCTTGCTGTTCACGCTGTGGCCTCTTGGGGGCAGTGTGGCGCAGGCATGAAGAAAAAAACCATTGGTTCCTGAGCACGGTCACCTTTGCGGTCCGCGACGCTCCTCAAAGGTTCTTGTGCATCATCACGATGACACAGTGGAGCCGAGAGCTCGTCTGGTGGTCCGCCACCAAGCTGTGACCACTCGGCCGCTTTGTCGTTCTCGTCTTCGGTCTTCACCACCACCACGCTCAGCGCCAACTTCTTGACATGGGCCTCCTCCTTTTCCTCCGCTTCATTTTTCCCACAAGGGGGTTTGGGTTCTTCTCGGCAACCAAACAGCTGCTGCACATCTGAGAGACACAAGAGACACACATTTGAACCTCCAAGCACCATCTTGTTGGCTTCTCAAGTTCCACCCGACTCTGTATCCAAAACTGTGGCCGTCATATCAATATACTGTGTAGAGATTTTTATTTTTTTTGGGGGGGGGGGTGTGATTATCGAGCGAAAATGCGTTAAATGAGCAAGTTGAAGACGAGCAAACGCACCTTGTGGAATTTGAGTGGAGGAAATTGTTGCCCGTTGTCGCTCGAGCTGCTGCCTTGGTCGACAAAGTTCACTTTTGGACATACTCGAGTTATTTGTTAGGAGCGCTTTCGCCCCCTCACCCTTGCTGTGGCGTCACCAACTTCCGCCTTTTTCCTTCTTCGCCGGTACTTGGCGTGTCCCAACGCGCCCATGACGCACAGCCGCCATCTTGTGGCGGTATCGATGAGAAAGAAGATGGCGACGCCCCGCTTTTTTTTTAAATTAAGTCAGAGAAACGAAAAGTACAAATTAAGTAAAGTGAGATTTACTAAGAAATGATCATTCCCCACCCCGCCTAAAAAGGGCTACTTTTAGAGCCACTTCTGGACACTGAGTCAACACTGTTGTTCCTTGACATGAAATGGTTTCTTCCACTTTTATTGTGTTTCCCAACATACATACAGACATTGGTCTAAAGCCCTCACGTCGACGACAGATTTTCTGTGATTTTTTTTCTTAACTCAAAGGGAATCATTTATTGATGTACAATTGAAAACATTGTGTTTGTTTTGTTGAGATCTTTGAGAAAGGTTTGCTATCCCAGCTGTCTTCAGACTGTAGGCGGGGGACACCCTGAACCAGCCAATCGCAGGGCACACACAGACGAACAACCATCCGCGCTCACACTCACACCTTGGGACAATTTCGAGTGTTCACTCAGCCTGCCACGCACGTTTTTATTTGGAAACCAGAGTACCCGGAGAAAACCCACGCAGGCACGGGGAGAACACGCAAGCTCCGCACAGAGAGCCCGGAGCCGGGATCGAACCCACAAACTCTGCACCGTGAGGTCGACGCGCTAACCACTGGACCACCGGGCCGCCTTGTCCACATCAGCCGATATGAAATCCCTTGCGATAAAAACTTCAGCTGAATTGTTTGTGTTTCATTTTGAACTTCAATTCTCAGTTGCAGATCGGCTGTTTGGACTTTGTTCAGCACTGTTTTTTCTTTCTTGAAAATGATCAGCCATCGGTGAAATGGAAATGCGATGAATGAAAAGTACTGGGGGTATCGCTTACTCGGTATCGGTCAGATTTTGAGCGCAGTTGCGACGATCAAACGTTCACTCTTTGCCTTTGCTGTGCGTTTGCATGTGCGCAGTCAAATTGGCCCGGAGTGTGTAGCGTTCAGCGCACTGGAGGCAACCAAAGGGTTTGTCCGCCGCGTGCGCTCTCACGTGTGTGTCCAGGTGCTCCTTTTGTGAGAAAGTTTGACGACAGAGCGAACAACTCCGGGGTTTCTCCGCAGCGTGTCTCCTCACGTGCGCCGCCAGATTTGACTTGTGAGAGAAGGTTTTGGCACACAGCGAGCAGCTGAAGGGTTTCTCTCCCGTGTGCGTTTTCAGGTGGGATTTCACGTGCTCCTTGCGAGAGAAGGTCTTGGCGCAAAAAGGGCAAGGGAAGGGTTTCTCTCCCGTGTGCGTTCTCAGGTGCGACGCCAGATAGGGCTTTTGAGAGAAGACCTTACCGCAGGCCGAGCAACGGTAGGGTTTTTCTCCCGTGTGGATTCTCATGTGCGATTCCATATTCTCCTTTTGAGAGAAGGGTTTCCCGCAAAAGGAGCAAGTGAAGGGTTTCTCTCCCGTGTGCGTTCGCAGGTGCAATTCCAGATGTGGCTTCTGAGAGAAGGCTTTGCCGCAAGTTGAGCAAGTGAAGGGTTTTTCTCCCGTGTGCGTTCTCATGTGCGTCGTCATGTGTTGCTTCTGGGCAAAACGTTTGGCACAAACCGAGCAACGAAACGTTTTGTGACGCGGTCGCGGCCTCGGCTTGTTGCCGAGCGCCGTCTCTTTTTCGGAGCCTGTCGACAGTCTGCCGCGCCCTTCGCTGTGGGCGGCGCCGCTCAAAGGTCCGTCGTCCACGTCGTCGCTGTCCGACAGCGGCGCCAGGAGGTTGCGCGCCGGTGGGCCTTCGTCGTGACGAAGACGCGAGCCCTCATGCGGCTCGCCTTTGCCGTCTCCGCTCTCCGAAGGGACGCCGATGGGTGGGAACCTGCTGATGTCAGACTCCTGCTCCTCCTCTTTGACATGGAGGCGTTCGGGCTCCTCCTCCTCCTCCTCTTCTTTAACCTGCCAAGGGGGGTGCGGAGCCTGTTCTTCCCCATTCACGTGGGGGGGCCGAGGATCCTCCTCTTCCTCTTTCACGCGGGGCGGCAGAAGACCGGCCGGCTGCCGGATGCCTGCAGGGCACAAGCGACAGTTTGGACGAGGCAAAGTCAACGGCGTTGCGAGTTCACTGCGCGCCATCACGGCGCAAAGAGTCGTGTCGCCGAGATGACCGAGAAGAAGGAACTTTCATCTTGACTTGACAAGTAGCTTAGTTTACTTACTAATGACAATAGCGCTATGACCATCTTGTCTACTTTCGGTTAAATTAGGTTGAAGGTTTCTTTTTTTTGGGGGGGGGGGTGAGGGCTGAAGCAACAGCCGAAACTGTCACTTTTTCTTTTCACGGAAAAAACACCATTGTCTGGACAAAAAAAGAAACCTTAAACCTTACGGATTACAAGTTACTTTATGAGTTACATTCAAGAGACGCCACAACCTTGCCTAATATTAAATTTGTCAACCCATTTTGGAAATGAAGTACAGTCTATAAAATGAAGCAAGAATGATCAAGCGTCATCAGCGTTTATGCTGCACGGCTCATGTTCCGCCATGTCGTTACGTTCCATTTTATAGTCTCCACATCCCCATTCGAATGGCTGCTTTTTGGGATCTAGGCAAGGAGCCCAAGGTCATTCACTTCAAAGCTTTTTCCACCGTTCACGTGACCTCGAGCGTGTCGCGTGGCCACAAATTGTTTTCGACTATTGTGACTTTGGGGTCGTGCGACTCAAGTAAAAAAGTAAAAAGTGCTCCCGCTCAAATGAGCCGGTAGGTTTTCGGTGCTTTTAAAATATTTCCTCTTCCTATTTTGTGACTTCCCACCATTTCTTTCGTCGCCAGCAACAAAATTAAACTTGATATCAGTTCTTTTTGTACATGACCACGACTTATGTCCCCCCTCCGTCCCTCTTTCGGCCACTCTTCCGCCAGGGAGAAGCCGTTTTAATTGAGCTAGCAGAAGACGAGTGATGAACGCACCTTGGATCCTTTGGATGGACGAATCTCCGTCGCGTTGTTGCCGTTGTGTCTCGTTCCGCAATTTTGCTCGACAAAATTCGTCTTGTGACATTTTCTTGTGGTCTTTTGGGGCGATTTTTAAAGCTTTCTCCCTCGCGCTTTATCTCGTCCTCTGCAGTCGACTCCGCCTCTCCCTCCCGACCCCACCCACCTTTTCTTCTTCGGTGGTGGTTTCACAGCAGCGAAGGGCAGCCATGACACCGCGCGGTCGCCATCTTGCGACGGTAATGACAAGCGAAAGCGTGACAGAAATCAGTGTAATCCAATAAACAATTTCAGAAAATAAACAAAACAAATCCGTGTCGTAATACAGCGAAAACAATAATAATGGAATGATATTATGAGTAAATAAATATTTTTTTCAAGAAAAGTGACATATATGAAAAAAAAGGGTTTTTAAAAGATCTGTTATATAAGAAAAACTCGTGTTTTTTCTGGCGAAAAAAAAAACGCTATCACAACCCCCCCCCCCCGAAAAATATATATACTGTATATAATGATGTGTGGTTTTTTTATACTTTCTATACTATCTGTCAAATTCTGCCTGAAATAAAGTTGGTGGCTGCCACTGCAGAAGAATGAATTCCGAGAGGCGAACATGCTGAGTGGTAAACAGGTCCACACTGTCACACTTTATTCCACCACGAAAACACAAACACACATTGATTTGTATCAATAAATAAAATAAATAAATAGATAAATAAATAGATAAATACATATAAATACTTCCATAAATACTTATGTGAATATATCCATACGAAAGCAAGCCAGATGAAAAAAGCCCCTTTTTTTCAGTAGTACTGTACGTTTTTTTTCCTTCATTCCATCACTATTTTCATAGATGACCCACCCTCTCAATTCGTCTCTCTAATATATCAACCTTTCCACATGATTTATACATTACTTTCCTTCACCACTTTTGTGAATACAACGATTGCATTGGCATGAATAAATAGGTACTGCGTTTTGTTTTGTTTTTCCTTCCGAAGGGCACGACTCGTTTTGGCGAGGTGTGGCCTTTTTGGGGGCTTGAGCATGTGCCCCCAAACTGTTGATTCCCTCCCTCGTCCAAGTTTCCAAAGCTCTAGCTCTGCCTCTGGATGTGGAAGGTGAAGTAGCGGTCGGCGGCGCGCTGGCGCATCTCCACGGGCATGTCGTCCTCCTCGGCCGTGCTGATGAACCATTTGGGGAAGCGCGCCGACGCCAGGGTGCTGAGGCTGACGCCCGAGTCGCGCTTGTAGAAGAGGAAGCGCAGCATGTCGTCGTCCGAGGCCACGCTCGTCAGGCTCTGCCGGTCCTCCACCGGCTCCAGGTGCAGGGCGGGCTTCTGGCCCTCCCGGTGGCACGACAGGAACAGGTTGGTGCCCTTGATGCCCAGGGCCACCGGTCGGGCTTCGGCGGAGGGGGACGGATGCGCGTAGGTGGACATGTTGAGGTGCACTGCCATGCGGAGACGGAGCAGATGAGACGGTGGCAACCCCAACAGTTTTGTTTGTTTTTTTTGGTGTACTGTTTTGTGCAGGATTTTCTCATTCAGCATTCCGTTGACTAAACATAGTGTGCGCGCGTGTGTGCGAGCGGACCTTTGCGGTGACCGTTTCCTCCCTGCAGCGTGACGGCGTGCAGCTCCATGCTGTCCCTGAGCAGCACCAGACTCTTCTTCTGGCTGTCGCTCATGCTGCACTCGTACTGGCCCGTCCGGATGAACTGATTCCCCGGAGCTCGCGCCTCGGGCATGTGGATCACTGAGAAAGGAAAACAGAACTTTGGTCTTTCGAAAAATGTGAACTTAGACATGCTCATTCGTCGGGCGCACAGCAGGGTTGTCAACGTTTGGCCTTTTTCATCATAGCTTTGATTTCATTTTCATGTGTCTGCGTTTGGAATAAAACTTTCAAGGAAGTATATTAGCTTTCATTTTTTTCCCACATAATAGCTGCGTTTCAGTTCAATTTTCATGAGTTTTCGTTCTTTCATTTGTAATTCTGGAGCGTGTGTCCAGGGCGAGATAAAAACAAGTCACACCATCTGTTGTCGAAAGGGGAAGTCGTGTCCGGAATCGTCCTTGCAACAATCGGTTCCTGCACCGGAGTGAATACGGTCTTCAGATCACGATTGAATGAAGAAGAAGCATCCGGCCGTTGTTCTCCATCTCATGGGCCGGCCAATTGACTTTGGACCGCGGCGACGGCAAGCGGCTGTCCGAGGCGACGCAGATGGACCGGAACGGGCGGGTGCACGGAACTTATACGACGACTACGGCGGCAACGCGAGTTCCATGGGCGCGTCGAGGCCGTTGCGCGTCGGAATGGCGCCGGCAGCCTTTCAAAGGACACGCGAGCGAGTTTGGTGGAATGCGTCCACGGGGCCTACCTTCCACAAAGTCGTCCGTCATGATGTCGAGGAAGCGTTGGGCGCTGATTTTGCTGCGGAGGGCGACCTCGGCGCGGCTGCCCTTCAACCTCTCGATGGCCACCACCAGGTTGACCACTCGCTTCATGCTCAGGGGGTGACGGGAGACCTCCAGGCTCAATCCCGCCGGCATGATGGGGCATCTCATCTCCGCGGCCATCTTCTCGCACACACAAGACAGCACTTGTTATGTCAGCGGGACACATCCAACGCGACTTGACGCTTTTCTTCACATGAAAATTCGCTTGATAAATGACGATGCGTGCGGAGCCGTCAACGGAAATTGGCTTTTTTGGGGGGGGGATGGGGCACACACAATGCTGCTGACCATTCTTGCTGCTGTTGACCGTCACATCGGGATATTCACCATGTTTCTTGGAGACTTTTGCTTGTCATTTGACTTGATTTTTTTTTCATATAATCCTGCAGACTCATTTTGCTGATTTTTCCCTTCCACTAAAAGAATCAAATCAAAGTACAGTACCTTCTCTTGTTGCGTGTCGTCGGTCGTAGTAGTAGTAGTTTTTCTCCGGTTGGAGCGCTGAGTTATGCTCTTGCTGTGGTTAGGGTTGTGCTTGCGTGTCGAGACCTGAGTGCTTTTATGCACCTTTGCTACCAGCCGAGGAATTTCCCCTTGGACACACAGGAAGTGGGACGGTCCACGACGGCGACGTCACGCCGCCGTGATGCAATACTGTATTGTCAAGGTGAATGAGTGGGATGGTGAAATCGGGGAGGAAGATGGGAATGCAGCGCATCCACTCCGCGCCTCCTGAAGCCCGCATCCAAGAGCGCGTTTCAGCATGTCACGACTGACAGGAAGATGATATGAAATAAATGACGTCGCATCTCCGAGAAAAAACAACCGGATACGTATCTGGATACGTGGGGCGCGACACCATTCGAGAATGGAACCATTTCGATATCGATTTCATAGGGTCATCATCGGGTGCGCTATGATTCGAATAAAGATACAATGGGAAATGGAACCATTTGATGCACGAAAAACATTCTCCGTTTCAAATCCTTTTCTGTGACACCCCTAATATACACTCTCTCTACACACACCACACATACAGGTATATTTTATATATATATATATATATATACACACACACACACACACACACACACACACACACACACACACAGGTATACACATACAGACACATATTGGCAAGAACGACTAACCCTTAAAAAAATGTTGAAAATTCAGACTTATCGGAAAATATGACTTAACAAAATCAATCTGGTAATATTTCCATTTTTTTCCCTTGAAGAAGGTCGTAAGGATGTAATATTCCGGGTTTTTTATTTTCCTCGAAATGTTGACATTTGAACTCCAATTGTTTTTTTTTTTTTTTTTTTTTAGATCAGCTTTTTTGAGTGTTCCCCTCCAAAATAAGCAGGAGGAGTTTTTCAGAGTGTTTTCTTGTACTTCCGCATCCTGAGGGTTGAGGTTCTTTTGATGCAAGTAAAAATTCCGTCTATTTGGGGTTGTGTAAGTGCGGACGCGTTGACGATTTCACCACCAAGAGGTAAGCCATGACTCTGCACATTCTTTCCTTCCACGGCTATTTTAGCTTTTGACTGCAGACACCCGGACGTGGTCTGAGAGATACGCAAGCGCTCTTCTGGTTTACGATGAGACCTCGCACAAGAACCAAGAGACGAGTATGAGGGCACACGCCGAATAAAGAACCACGACAAAAAAAGAAAAAACAAACCTCAAACTTTTTGTTCAAAAATAGGAGGAGGCAGAACCATGTCTGTCGAATCACGCAGACGTCAAAGAAGAATCGACTTCTTTTTCTACGACGACTGTCAGTGACTAGAATGACCGACTGTCATTTTTCCAAGAGGATAAAGACTACATGCCTGTGAGAATTAGGATTTCATCCGTCTAAATGTGTTGCTCCATCTTTTGTGTTCCCTGCTTCTCAAACCGCAACTATTGATGTGAACACATCAATGCTGTTTTGCATCGTTTCACCACTAAGCTCAGCAAACGTTGGATATAATATTGAGAATTTTTTTTTTTTTTTAAAGAATGAATCAAAATCCCATTTTAAAGTGATGTATTTTGGGGATATTAAAGTGATTTGCATTGATAAGAAGTGTCGAGATCCAGTTTGCTTTCATTCAAGTCGGCAAGAGCGACTTTGACAGTGAGCGCCTGGGGCGGGGGGGGGGGGGGGGGTTTAGTTCTGGCCCGACCACTCCCACCTAGGGGTGGCGACAGGACGAGGAAGTGAAAGGACTTGTTTTGAGATTCCGTGGCTGTTACACGAGTCGGGAATTTTGTGGGGTCAAACCAGTCTTGCGTGCAAATGACAAAAAGGCTGATGATGAAAGAGCGTCGAGTGCGTTCAAACCCACGCACACATGGGTGCCTGCCGTGGGATCCAAAAGCTCCGTGACGCTTGCATCATGAGCTATTGTGCGTCCAAACTTGAATCATGTCGACACCTTGGCTCCTCTTTAGCTTGGGCGCAATCGTGAAATACCGAAAAATAAACGACCCTGAAAGGGGCAATTGAAACCACTGGGAGGGGAGGGGCATATACCACCGCACACTTCCTCACCGGCCGTATGGCAAAAATGCCATTCTACTTCACAAATGTCTGTTTTTTTTTTGTTCCATTGAACTCATGTACAGAAGGGCCCGTTAAAATGTTGGATTGCACAAACGCATTTCGAAATGATCCACTGCTCAACTACAAATGAGTTGAAGCACAGAAACAGATGCCCACAGTTTGAAATAAATACATTAATTAATTAAGACTAATAATACACTGGAGTCCAAAATAATAGGATGATTTCGGAGCTCCTCGTGCATTTCAAATATTTTGTTTTTCTTTTTGTTGAAAATTTGTTTGGTTAACTTTTGAGTTTGGGCAACTTTTGCGATTGGGCTTGCTGTGGCAATTTAGGTTGAATTCGCTCATAGTTGAAAATTCATTCTTGGCATTAGTAAGCAATGTCTGCCATCTAGTGGTGAACGTTGTCATTACAATTTAAAACTGCTCGGCTACAGTAAGTTTGAAAGGGTTTTTTGTTTCTAGTTGAAAAGTCATAATTTCCAGAAATGAAGTAGTCTCCCCCCAATTTTTTTATACCCCTATTTTTCTGGAAAAAAAAAGTCACATTCTTCAGTAGTTTTATTTTTTAAGAACAAAAGAGCTCATTATGAACTCATTCAGGAACAGCCATTTTCAGACCTGTTTAAAAAAGAAAAATGGACTTTCAGTCTTGGAAAAAAAAAAGCTAGGAAAAAAGAAAACCTAAATACAAGGGATTGAATGTGTGAAGTCTGAAAAGACATATAAATATGTCTTTGGGAGTGAATGAGTTAAGGTTTGATAAACTTCTTTTTCGCTCATAATAATGACTTTTTATGCAAGCTACAAAATAAGAGAGCAAAGATCGCTGACGTAGAGAAATAGATCTCAGGTTTATTCACAACATTCATCATGAAAACTCATTCGGACAGAAATTATAAAACACTATTTACAAGTTTTTTGTCATTTGGAATTTTAAGGTCATGGCGAGAACCCGAGTCGTCGTTTTTTTTCCCTCAGTTCATTCCCTCTGCCGCTCGCTCCCAGATCCGTGTGGGAAAACGACACAACGGCGATCATCTACAGTGTTTTGAGGTACCGAAAACAACATAGTGAACTGACGGACAGGCACGCGGAATAAACTGAAACCCCGGTTTGATTGAAAGCATTCGGGGTTGATTGAATGAGCGATTGCGTGCATGCGTCCTCAAAAAATACAAAACAAAAGAAGACTTCCCGAGATACGCTGAAGGCAACCAAATGAGGAGTATGACTCAAAGCAGTTTCATTTTGAACAGTCCTTATTGCGACATGAGAACAAAAAAATTCTAAAACTGTTTGTATTTTTTTGGTGGCAGGGGAAATACTGCTTTCCTTATTAAAGTGCATCCATGAATAAACACACACACACACACAAATATAGAGATTTTCATTTCAAACAGGGATTTTCTCAAAACGTCATTATGAGGAACAAATTGTGACACCGTCAACCCCCCCACCGTCCAAAAGGTATTTTATATATAATTGCTCCCCCTAAACCCAAAATAGAGTTAAGTGACACTTAGGGAGGCAATACCAGTTCATGAATAAACTGGGATGTGTGTGTGTGTGTGTATTTGTCTTATATACAGGAGACAAGTCATGCTAGCATACAGTCAAATGTCTGCTTCTTTTTCAGCTATGATACATATTTGTATCTATTTAAACAGACATATACACGTGTGTGTGTGTGTGTATATCAATCTAGCAAGCATCTATCTAGGTAGCTAGCTAGCTAGCTAGCCATCTATCCATGTCCATCTATCGTGAGCTAGCAAGTTCTCTATCCAGCTATCAAGCTACCTAGCTAGACACACACACACACACACACACACACACACACACACACACACACACACAACTTAGAATATGGAGGGAAAGTCCATCTATTCCAAGAATTTGTTTCTTTTGCCGTCTTTCTGCCAGAGTCATCAAATCTGAAACACACGAAGGCTTGAAATATTTCACTTTTTGAGTGTGGTGCACGAATACAACATCCAAGTTTAACTTTCTTCAGCAAATTCTTGAAACAAAGGCACTTTGTCTCCACCCATGTACACCACAGCCGACAACGTCAAAACCCACCCACGGAGAGTTGGTGTTGCGCTCGACAAATTGCAGCAGGAGATCATGTCAAATGTTTCCATGGCAACCCCAAGCGGGCATGTCACATGGGGGGAGGGTGTGGGGGTCAGTTTGAGAGTGTCCGCTCAAACTCTTTGGCATGTATCCGCATAGGACCAGCAAGGTGAACACACTAGCGGTCCCCAACAGGTAGGCACTAGCCATGTGGATTTGGGGAAGAGGCATCCCCCAAAACCCAAACTCAAGAAATTCTTCCATGGCCAGAGAGAATAAAGTCAGAATATTGCGAACAGCATATGAAAACTAAGCCTGGCATTTTCAAAGAACACAAGGTCAAATTTCACGAGAGCGTCATTCGCAATCGGTCGACATCAAAGGATTGAATTTTGACAGAAATCGCATCGATGTCATTTGGCAAGAACGGATCACTTTTTCAATGTACGTGTTGGTTGCGGGTCCGCCTCACGGCGCAGGGCTCGCGGCTTCGATTTGCGGGCCCCGGCCTTCCTGCGTGGCTTTTCTGCGGGTGCTCCGCTTTCCTCCCGCATTCCAAAAACGTGCGCGGCGGGTTGACCGAACGCTCGAAATCGTCCCGAGGGGGCGATTGTGAACGCCAATGGTCGTTTGTCTCCGCGTGCCCCGTGATTGGCTGAAACGTGGCCAAATTTGACAAGCTAGCACAATCGGAAGAACAGGATGACGTTCCATGAAAAGTCTGAGCGGTTCAATTGTTGTCTCCTTTCTTCTTCTTGTCATCTTCCAACTTGATTCTCACATTTTCCTCCAATTTTGGAGCCGATATAACCGCTCTTGCCTTCCATAAACCGCTCTGTTGTTTTCCATCCGGCCTCCAGAAGTGAAGGTACCCTTGGTCACACGCTGTCACACTTACGCCAAAATAAAAAAGAAAAAAACATTCACAGTCAACTGCCACAATGCCCTGCGAGCACACCTAACAAAGTGATGTTCACCTGCCAATCAAGAAAAAAGTCGAGCAGCAGCCTTCTCCTGCCGGCAGGGTCTCATCCAGCAAAGCTATCATTGGGATGAG